TTGATTATTTACCCAGACATCTAGGGAAACTTTGAAATTGAACTTCTTGAAACAGACCCATAATCCTGCTCTCCTAGGAGGCAGGCAGGTAGGCTCTCTCTTCCTTTCTCAGAAACCATTTAAAGGGTTGCTTACAGTGTTCATTTTGGCCCTGGGAAGTATAACACGGGGGCAGAGGTTTCCTTGGGAATTAAAAATTGCATCAGTAATTACAAATTGAATTGTTGTCTCCTTCAAAGATCCCTGCAGCTTGAGGCCATACCAGCCTGGTAAATGAAAATGTTAATGGTTTGCATGTTTACACACAATGTGCGTGTCAGTGAATGAAGTCAGCACCCGTGGAAGGGCTGACTGTAGAACGCTCAGCCCACCACCTGGTTGCATGGGATGTGCTGTGTTGGGCAGGAGACTGGCAAGCAGAGGCTGAGTTAGGGAAGGATTTGCCTTGGCTTCACTGTCTAGGTTCCTGTGCTGTAGGGGCAAATTTAGAGTTTTGGTTGCAGCCAGCAAGAGGTGTTTAGACTTGCCTCTGCACATTAAGTAGTGAAGAGGAATCTGGGAGCTGGATACCCATGTGCCAGGTAGTATCCATCCAAAATGTGCAAGGGCCCAGTGTGCCCTCTGTCCACTTGCCCAGTGCCTTCCAGCTTAGGGAAGGGGACAAACTCTTTACATTCTCAAGCATGTCCTGATCTGTAAGTGAGATTATAATGATTCCCACTTCCAGGGAGTATTGTGAGAGTTAAATGAGATGATTCATGTAAAGGAATTATAGCCTTCAGCATACAGAAAACATTTAATAAATGATAGCAATGCTTGTTATCATATGTTGCCAAGTAGGAAGAACCTGGATTTATCAGGTCCATGGACATGGGTCCTAGGCCTTGCTTTCTCCTGATTCCAACTAGTTGTGTGAGTTTGGATATTTCTTTACCCATTTCCTTCTCTCAGTCAAAGGGAAAACAGTCCCCTTGACGTCTGTGATTCAGTGACCATTGGTATTGGTCTCTGTCATTCACATCTGCAAACTACTGCTGCTTCTAGCACTTTGAGAAAGCCTCAGTTTGGCTGAACTCTGTGGGCATGGGAATGCTTTTTGTGGTGTTAAATGCCTTTTAAATGGTTACTGCAGGACAGGCCTAGGTGAGCTACTCTGGCTGACTTGAATACTAACTTCCCACTTTCCAGTACTGTGTTGTGATTGTTTTATTCATAGATATACAGGGTTATGAGCCTAATGCTGGAGCCTGGTTGCCAACTCACTTTCCATTGGTTGACCTTGGGTATGCTTTTAAACTTCTGGATCTCAGTTTTTCCACCAGCAAATAGTATTTATTTCATAGGGTGGCAGGAGGATCGAGCAGTTTGTGCATGTTTGCTCAGAACAATGTCTGGCATGAAGTAAGTGTTTGGTAAGTGTATTATTGGTATTATTTGGGGGCTAAATGCAGAGAGTTACATTTTATTTTAGTTGAAATGCTGTTACATTTTGTCCCTTGTTGCCAGGGATGAAAACCTGAACCTGTGTAAGCCAGACCAGCACACTATTGCTGACCTGCATCCCCAGCCCTGATGTTGCATTATTAAAGAAAAATGGGCAAATTCGACAAAGTGCAGGCTCAGGGTCTAGAGCTAAAGAACCTGAAGGTGAGTGGGAGAATAGGTGTTGGCTGTTGCCATTCTTTTCCCCACAGCTGCTGTGCACACACACATTTTTCACATGTTGTCAGCATGTGCAAATAATTTCACCCTTTAAATTATCTTCTGCATGGTCTTCACAGCTACTGTAATGACTGGCATTCTGTCATGTCAGTGATCACAACTTATCACCTCACTCACTGCTGCCAAATATGGGAAGTACATCCCCTTTCTGCTCTTAAGGTAAGGTGGCAGTGAGTAGCTTCCAATCGAGGGCCTTGATTTCCATTGGATGCTTTCCTCAGGGCGAGGCTCAGCTTAAAGCTCCTGGCCAGTATCGTTGGAGAGGCCTAAAGGATCTTGTCATGTTGTTTTCCAAAAGGCCACATCTGTGTGAGCAATGTGTAGCCACAAGCTAACTGCACATCAGTACTGATGTTTTCCTTTTAAAATCGTTCTTATAAAACTCAAACTACACTTGCTAATGCCATACTGATGACTTATCTGATGACATGGAGCTCAGGGAATGGGTATGGGAAGTTCATGAGCCATTATCAGTGCCAAAGGTCCCATTTTGTTTTAAAAATTTGATTTCCCACAGCTCTTTGATTTGGGTTTGACTTAGTCACATTCCAATGCTGAGTTTTATCAAGAGAGACCTGAAGCCTTGTTAAGGAAACCCACTTGCCATGGCAGCTTTTTGTCCTCTGTCTCCCAGAGAGCAGTGATTATTAAAGAGTTCCCTTACAGGAAAGCTGCAGAGTGAGCCTGGAGGGGCTAGCCTTGTTGGTGGAGTGCTTGCTGCCGGACAGCAGGGCAAGGACCCAGTGCATCCCCTTTGCTCTTTACTGTTGAGGGCTGACTCTCTCTCCTTTGCCACCTGCTTATGTATGATGGGGCATGGTCTGTTAGCAGCTTGCTGCCCTTGAGGTGTCCAAGCAGTTGCGATGGGTGAGGGTGTGTCTGTGTCTATTGAGTCTGTTCATCATTGAGGTCTGAAGCCATGTTGGGATGTGATCATAAATAGGTCCAGAGTCAGGAGAGAAGGTTTAAAAGCAAAAGGTTATTCAGCATGCTTTTAGAGTTACTGGTGTCTTGAGCTAGAAAGTTAAAAAAAAATCTTCTAAAATGGTTCCCTAATTTTACCAGGAAGAAACTGAGGCTTAGAGAAGTGAAGTGACCGGTCTGACACCCTGTAGCTAGTGTGTGGTGTGGTCCATCAGGATAGTGATATAACAACAAATGTGAGTAATACCAAAGCCATGCCACACAGCACAGCCTGTATCATTAGACCATGTGTGACACAGTGACGTGTGTAACAGTGGGCTGGGTATGAGGCGATGCCAGTGGCTTCCTGTGTGTAGGCATAGTGCTAAAGGTCAGTGTGCCCTGCTGGCTCCTGTGTGTGTATGCAGTGGGTGTGTGACTCTAATCACCCGAGCATTGTGTTTTATTAAGCAAAAGCTCAGATGTAGGAAATGAAAACCATACGTGTGAAAGAGTTTTTCTCATGAGAAGAGTAGGGTGTTGTTTTGGGCGTGGGTAAGAAAAGGGAAGGAAACGGCTCTGTCATCAGATCTCTCCAAGTTTAGAACAATGTCTGTGCCTCACCACTGGCTTTAGGATGTGCTTTGCCCTGGGAACATGCGTACAGTGCATTTCTGGGTTTAGCTCTTTCTTTTCCAGCTGTTTAGAGGGCGTCACCATTATTTAAGATAATGGCAATAGCCAGCAGCCACTTTTGTATCTAATTACCTCTCCAGTTCTTCTCAGGGATGCTATGAGGCACTTGATTTCAGAAGTCACTTCATGCTGAAGTGCTGGGGACTCTTACAGGGGCCCTTGTGGACTATGCAGAGGAGTCTGCCCCAGGATACTTGATCTGTGTTAAGAGTCAGTAAACTTCTTAAAGGGCCAGATAGTGAATATTTTAGAAGAATCAAAATTGAGACTATTATGTAGATGCTTATATAACGACTTTAAATGAAATTCATTTAAAAATATAAGGACCATTCTTGCTTGCAAGCTATAAAAAGAGGGCCTTGCAAAAGGTGGCTGAGGGGAATTGGGTTATAAGCAGAACTTTGCCAACCCCTGGCCTCCAGTGTCTTTGGTTTGGGTGTTTTTTTTGCAGTAATTGTACTCTGTGAATCAGAAACAAATCACTCTTCCTTTGCAGAAGGTCATAGCATCTTCTGGTTCTGGCTATGGTTGTGCACACCTGTAATCCCAGGGACTTGGGAGGCTGAGGCAGAAGGACCTCAAGTTTGAGGTGAGCCTGGCAACTTAAATAAAAATGAATAGGGCTGGGGATGTGGAGTAGAAGTAGAACACTTGCCTAGCAGATGTGAGGCTCTAGGGTCACTCCCTAGCATTGCAAAAAAAAAAAAAAAAAAAATCTTTTGGTTTTCAGGTTAGAAAAGGACTTAGATGTTGTCCTGTGATTGCCTTGTCTTTGTAATCAGGGCCAGGCTGAGCCTTTGCTTCTAGTCTGCCACACCGAGTGTGGAGTGAGTGAGAGGAGGTGGGAGACTGGGCCTGAGCCCTGGCACTCTAGGATCAGTAAGGGGAGCACCTGGGGATGACCAGCAGGCAAGATGCAAAGGTGGTCTTTGTGTTTTTTGTAGTCTGCAGGGTAAGTGAATAGTCTCCTGCTATTTATTTACCATGTAACCCTGTCTGCCTCAACTTGTGTGTCTGTAAAAGGAAGGCAGACTGTGGCAGCTGTCTCTGCGAGGAGTACAGGAGAGTCTGCTGCAGCACTCAGCTCGAGGCCTTGGGGTCACTGTTTTTCAGACCTATGCGCTGGAGTCTTCATACCTTGATGATTGCTGCACACTTTGAAGGTGTGTCCTTGTGTTGCTTTTTTGCTTAGTCACCCGTGCACCAAACTGTATCTACCAGCATCTACTGTAGGGCAAGGAATCACTGCCTGTTTCCTTCCTGTCCTCTCTTTGTGATTACCATCGTGATCTTTGGAATGAGTTTGCTGCGTACCTACTTCCCTAAGGTGCTCACTAGGGATTAGATTCCACGTAAAGGGGAACGCCACGTAAAGCCAGTCAACCCTAAGACATCTCTTCACTCACCAGGAATGTATGGTCTATAGCAGGGGCCTCAGGCTTTTTCTGTAGATTCATATAGTAAATATTTTAGGCTTGGCAGGCCACATAGAATCTCTGATGCACATACTTCTTTATTTTCTTCTTATAATTCTTTTAAAAAGTAAAAAACATTTGTTAGTCCTGGGCACTTTAAAACAGGCCTTGGTCTACATGAGATGACTGTGGTCCAGCATGGCCTAGCAATCTGCCTCATGGCATTGACTCCCAGGTGTGATTCCCTCACACACTAGATCAGGCTTGAGCAGAATCTTCTAAGACTCCATGCTCTGCCTTCCTGTCTCTCCTGGAGGCCTGGCTCCCAGGAAGGCCAGCTGCCCTGTCATGAGGATCTGAGGCTTCTTGCCCACAGCACCCTGATGAGCTAAGTAAGCAGCTGTCACTGCCCTGCTGGAGCCTTAGGTGACTTCAGTGTCCTGGGTGCACTGGAACCAGAACACTGTAGCGGAACTCCTCCTGCCTCTAAGGTAATTTAGAAATCTTTAGCAGTAAAGGGGAAGCAGTGAGGAATTATAAAGAATGATTGCCTACCTGCAGAATGCAATTGTTTGGTTATTGTGTTTTGGTTTTTGCTAGGAAGTATCTATGCCAGTAATACATGGCAACAAATCTGTTTATGGTCAGGGTGAGATGAGGGCATGATGTGGTTCTTCTGCACTAAATCCTCTCAGCAGCCCTCTCTGGGTAGAGGCTGGGGCCTGCAGGCCTAGTGTGATGGAGCTTTTCCCACTCTTTCTGGGATTTTGCTTACAGTCATCGTGGCCCTCAGCTCCAGTACAGCAGGGCGCTTGCCAGCTGGGGAGAGCTGTTGCTCCCACACCCAACAGTTCCAGATTGCTTTACTAGTCTCCAGTTTACCCGAGGACCTTTGGCAATAAATAGCTCATCCATGGGCAGCTGGCCTTGACCTATGCAGTGAGGCCTGCTTGGGAAAGATGAGCTGGCTGTGGCCAAGAGTTTGAACCAGGACCCAGAGATATTTGGTGGGCATTTGAACTGAAGAATCCTACAGGATGGAGCCAGGCAGCCTGGACATGCTTCCACAGTAAGACAGAGGAGCACCCAGAAGAAGTGCCTCTGTGCATTTCTGTAGTAATGGTTGATGAGACACTTCCATGTACCAGGCATGGTCACGTGGATCACAGATCTACTGCAAGACTTAACTTTCTAAATGGGAAATGTTATCCACTGGGGAATTCTATATGAAGTGTGAGAGAAGGTGATAAGTGCTGAGGGCGGGGGCAGGGAAGGAAGGAGACTGTAGGGGTCCCAGGCAGTGGGGCTCAGATGATAAGTTAAACAGGCCCCGTGGACGTGGCTCATTTTGAAGGTGAAGTTTGTGTAAGTCTTGGAGGAGCTAAGGGAGCTGGCCAAGCACACCTAGAGCAGAAGCAATCTTAGCAGGGGGTCCTGGTAGGTGTTTCAAAGAATAGTGTGAATGCTGGGGTGAGTTGAGTGAGATCCCATGAGCCCTAAGGAGCACTACAAGGGCTTTGGCTTTCATTATGAGAGAAATGTACAGCTATTACAGAGTTGTGAACAGAGCAGTGAAATAATCAGAAATTTTATTTTTTGCCATGCTGGGGATAGAACCCAGAGCCTGTGAATGCTAGGCAAGTGCTCTCCCACTCAGCTAAAATATTAAAAGAAGTACTTCCTGTGTTGAGAACCCAGCAGAGCTAGGGTAGCAGCCCATGGGAGCTGGTGCAGAGGAGAGGCTGGGAAGTGGTCAGATCCAGACGTATCTTATCAGTTAGAGCCAACAGGATTTCCTGATGAATGGATGTGAAGTGGGAAAAAGAAGGATCAAGGATGCCTCTAGGGCTTCTGGCCCTAGCAGCCACTGTGCAGGTGAGGTTGTTGTCAACTCAGATGGGACAGCTGTCAGGAAGCCAATTGTGGAGGGAGACCAGGTCCTGCTCAGTGTGACAGCAGCCTCTTAGATCTCCAAGTGCCAGGCAGAGTGTACAGTTAAATGTATGTCCAGGCCAGAAGTATGAACTAGGGAGTCTGGCACAGATCATATGTAAAGCCACAGAGTGGATGAGCTCCTGCTGAGACTAAGCCTGTATTGTAGGGAGAGTCTGCAGAGAACCTGGGGCAGAGAGAGCCAGGGAGGGCTGGGTGCTGGTTTTGGGCAGTATCCTTCCCTCTCACCCTCCTGATACCAGCTGCATAGCTTTCCTTGGGTCCTAGGAGACCCCTTACGTTCTGTGCACCTTCTACCTTCCTTTTTACCTTAATAAGTGTCATGGGACAGCTGAGGCTAGATTGGTAGTGTCTTCCCCCTTTGTCCATTTGCAAGAAGGAGACAGGTAGGAGTTAACTGGCTCACCACAGGTTGCACCAGGGTTATGCCAAGGGGCCTAGCCAGGACTGGCTCCGAGGTGGGTGCCTCACTGGGGTCCTTGTGTCCTTCCTGAGCTGCAGCTAGCTGTCGTGCTGCGTGTGATGTCTGAGGTGACTTGTGTGGTTTAGACAGTCCCAGGAAAGGGAGCAGACTGGGCAGGAGTCGTGGGGTGGGGGAAGGAGCCAACACATGGGGTGCGTGGTTCATTGATCACTTTCTTGTTTCATTTTCAGGCAACAAAACCTGCTATGCATCAGTACTATAGGTGCATATCTCTCCAGACCTGGTTCCTCATCTGAACCTGGTGTGACTGTTTTCTTAGGTCTTCCAGGGACAGTATATAGCTAGTATCATTCTAGATGTGTAGAGAGAAGCTACTAAGATTCATTACTTCAATAGTTGCTTTAGGGCTCTAGGGAACTCTGGTTAAGAAAGAAGCTGAAATAGCTGGGTAGGTACATAATTACAGACTGATAATCACTAGGAAAGATCAGAGTGGAGCTCTGAAGGCTAAGTCAGAGTTAATTAGGTGAAGTGTCAGTGGGCTCTTGGGGAGGGAGGAGATCATGGGCATAGGCCCTGAGGCAGAGGCACTTGGGACCTGAGATGTGGACTGTAGCCCTGTCAGAGCCTTGAGTTCAGGGTACCAACAAGCCAGGGAGCCACAAAGCATTTTCAATGGTGTGTGTTTGTGTCTGTGTCTGTCTGTCTGTCTGTCTGCGTGCCTGCCTGTTTCTCTAAGAGATTGATAAAGAAGGAAGAGATCAGATTTGTGCTTTGAAAAAATGATGGCTTGGAGGGAGAGAGCCCTGGAGAGGCAGGAGTGCAGCTCTGAGGGTGAGTTAGGTGTCCTGGAGGCTGGTGGCAGTAGCACAGAGTCCCTGGGTACTTGGAAGGTAAGATGTAAATAGGCTAGAAGTGAATGAGCTCTGGGTTTTGAAAGAGTGCAGGGGGCCTGGGTGGCCTCAGGTTTCTGGTTTGTGTTGGAATGTGCTTGCCATCCACTGAGACGTGGAACATGAGAGGAAATCCATGTTGTTTATTTGGTTCATGTATAAACAGTGGATAGTGGCTCTTTTAGGGCCTTTTCAATTGGCATTAGCCATGGAAGTCTAAACTGTTGGCTATAGATGTTCACATACTTGAGAAGTTAACTTCATTTCTCCCCAAAGTTCTTCACTTGTGGGATTCGGGGGCTTTTTACAGGAGTAGCTTCAATGGACAGTGCTACATGTCCACTTGGAGAGCTCTCCCTCTTACCTGGCACCTGTGCCTGGGGAGGGAGCTGCTCAAACAAACCCAGAAGAAGGTTGAGAGACCCCGCTGAACTTGTTTTTCTTTCTCTTCATGGGCAGTTGGGCTCCTAATGAAATTTGTTTCTCATTAGGGTCCCAGAAAGCCTCCATCCATGAGTGGCTCACATGATTCTCAGAACTGCTCTGCCAGGTGTCCTCCTGCAGGTAACTAGAGGTTGCTCCAAGGGCCCCAACCCTGTAATGACACAGTGTCAGGAGTGACAAGTTAATTTCCTGTTTATATTAAAATGACCTTTGTGAGATGTGGGGTGGCACCTCCTGGGTACATGGCTTGCAGGAGAGAGGTGGGAGTTTCTTGATGAGTTCAGTGTCGCCAGCATCGTGTTTCAAAGGGTCCCAGGAGGCTGGCTGTGCCAGTGACTGATTTGCTTCCATGTTTCCTTTGCTTCTTCCAGCTAAGAACAAGCTGAGGGGGCTTGCTCTTTTCAGAAAGTGCAGTCTGAAGGAAGTGTGTTCAGCGGAGAGCAGGCTTGTGTGGAGGGGTGAGGGCTTCTGGTGGATGGCTCTGTGGGCACTCTGCAGCGCTACTGAGGGTTCTTGAGCAAAACCGCCACTCAGGCTCACCTTCCCAAACGTCCCAGCATTGTGGAGAAGCCAGAGCTGGCTTCACATGATGTTCGTTTAATGCAATGGATATGTTTAATGCAATGGATATGACTGGTAATTTTATTATACTTGCACAGTAATGTTAAACTTCGGCAGTTGGAATGTTTGTCTTATTTTTGATTTTCCTTTTTTGCCAGAACTCTCTTTATAGTTCAACTAAGTAATTGTAGAAAGACTTTGTGATGGTATTTAACTGCTGTGTCTATAAAGTACCTGGGTTTGAAAAAGCACATCATAGAATCCAATCTTCCAGTCCTTTTTGGGGGTGGGGGGAGGGTACTGGGGATTGAACTCAGGGGCACTCCACCACTGAGCCACATCCCCAGCTCTATTTTGTATTTTATTTAGAGACAGGGTCTCACTGAGGTGCTTAGCTTCTTGCTGTTGCTGAGGCTGGCTTTGAACTTGCGATCCTCCTGTCTCAGCTTCACGAGCCTCTGGGATTTCAGGTGTGCGCCACTGTGCCCAGCTCCTCCAATCCATTTGACGGATGTCAGTGAGGACTTTCTAAGCCTTTGGCCCTGAGCTGGGCACTGGAGACAGCACCAAGCAAAACTGATTTTTGGGGGGAGGAAGGAGGCATGACACTGGCCTGCCACACAGGCACAGTTTAGCAGAAAGCTCCAACCCAGTTACCTAGTTTGGAGGTCAGGGAAGGTCTGCGGGAGAAAGTAATGGTTTGAACAGAGGAACCTAGTGTATCCAGATGGTCTGGATGTGATTTGACACTGACTTCAAGGTGGGCTTTGGCGGCCCTTCAGGTTGTCCAGTTGTATGGTGGAGCTGCAATACACACAGGCGGGGATGCACTGAGTAAGGTAGCATCATGCCCCACCAGCATCACCCTCGAGAACCACTGTGGTCTTCTCAGCCTTGGGATGGAATGCTGTTTCTCCCTTTCCCTAACTCTTCTCTCTTCCCCCTCCCTTACTCCTCCCCCCCTCTCTCCTTGTAGCCCTTTATTTTTTTATTTTCAAATAGGGACTCACTGAGTACTGATGCTGGCCTCCAATTTGCCATCCTCCTGCCTTAGCCTCAAGTAGCTGGGATTACAGGGGTATGTCCCCATACTGGCCACAATGCTATTTCTTTCTCTTTTTTTAAGAGAAAGAATTTTTTTTTTAATATTTATTTTTTAGTTTTCGGCAGACACAACATCTTTGTATGTGGTGCTGAGAATCGAACCCGGGCCGCACGCATGCCAGGTGAGTGCGCTACCGCTTGAGCCACATCCCCAGCCCACAGTGCTATTTCTTTGGAGCAGGAATCATAAACTACTGGCCAGATCAGTCAGCTGCCTGGCTTTGTAGTGGGAATTTCATTAGTACAGAGCCACACCCATTCGTACACTTATCTTACCTTCCTAAGTGGCAGCTGAGCTGTTACAGGAGACTGTGGCCCACAGAACCAACAATATTTAGTATCTTGCCCTTTAAAAGGAAAGTTTGCAGCCCTCTGCTGTAGAGCAAATAAAGGAATTAATTTTATATTTAGGGACTATGGTGTGAAGGAAATTGCTATCTTCCTCCAAAGTCAGAGCAGGGAGTGAGATACTGGCACCTTAAAAGATGAGCAGGGCTGAGGAAACTGTTGCTTCTCTCCTGGGATCAGGTGTTCATCAGTGGAAATGAAAGTGGTTTCCCAAAGTACTTAACCCACCTCCACCCTCTATCTGTCTCTTGTTCTGTCTGTGCACCACTGGCCCTGGGGTTCAGGAGACCACCCGATGCTATGTTCCTTCAGTCCAGGGGGCGAGGGTGGGTCAGGCTTACTGTGCAGGTAGTGATGTTCCTGGACTGAGAGCCACCGAGATCCCAGTGATGGTAGTAGGCACACCAGGAAGAGAGTGGGGAAGACCCTGTGATGACTGTCCTGAGCTCCCACAGCGTGTCCTGTGGTTAATAACAGCGCAGTCTCAAGGACACGGGCCATGTAGTCCGTAAACCAATTCCGTTCATCTAAATTTTGGGGTGGAATTAGTTTATTTGCATTTAATTATAAGTTTGATTCAATTGGACAGTTGTAAGGTGGCCATGCCCGTGTTGTCTCTGATTCCTGCCTCCTGGTGTCCATACCTCTGTGGGATTCCCCTCCCTTTGAGTATGGACAGGACCTATGACTCCAATGTGGGGAAGGCAGGGGATGTCACTCCCAGGGTGAGGTTATTGAGCTTATCTTGCCAGCAGACTCACTCTGGAGACATTCTTGAGCTGAGGGCATCTTCCATCCTTCAACCAGCAAGGGCTGGGGCCCTTAATCCTCTCTGGGTAGGGGGCAGACAAATGGCTTCCCTCCACCCTGTAGGTTTCCTGATGGCACTACGATTAAATTGACATAAAACAGATCAGCAAGAAGTAAACCATGTTTAGTTAGGCAGGCACAGGCGTCCCACCAGGCAGAACCGGGAGAAGTGCTGTTCAGGAAAGAGCAGGGCTGGGGCTCCTGTCGGGGTGAGGGAGGAATCCTGCTTACTTTATAGAGTCTCTCAGGCCATGGAAATCTGAGCAGCTTCCTAGCGTACCCCTTTACCAGTGTAGCTTTTCTTTATGGGTGCCAAGTTCTTCCATAAGGACAGAGCT